ATGGATGTGATTTGCAGCCGCTAAAATCCCACTGGAAGGTCACCTGTGAGTTAGTACCAGCTTGACAGCACATAAAAACAATAATGTGCTGTATTTTCTACATTCTTTTGTGTTTCTAATTCTATCTTTATATTACAGTTTTATTTAAAGCTATTGTCTTGTTATTCTTGCTCCACATGACTTATCTGCATATTATTTCCTCTTTCCTATTTTTCTTTGATTTTTTAAAATCTGTTTTATCTTTTTTTATTTGCTGTATTGGTAATTTCTGTGTGTTGGCTTGATGTTGTTGTTGTCATAGACCATTGAATTGGAACCAACTCAAAGCTGAGGCAGTTATCACACAGGAGGAAACTGCCTATTTTTCTCCCCCAAAGCCACGGGTGGATTTGAACCACAAGCCTCTGGGCCAGCAGTGCATCATTTCCTTACCTCTAAGCCGCCAGAGCTCTGTGTGGGTGTGATGAATGGTTCCTTTAGGGTCTGTCACTTCTTTAACTTATCACAGTCTGCTGCAGGTAACACTGAAGTGAGACTGTCATGGATGATCTAAGAGCCTTAGGGGAATGCACTTCCATTTTCCGCTGCTGACTTTGTGGTGGTGTAGTTATGCCATTTAACTTCTACAATACGTTATAAATGTCACAATATCTAGATGTTGGTCTTTGAACAGTTGATTATCTTTCAGAGATTTAAATAACAAATCCTATCTTCTTTCAACTTTAAATAACAAAACAATTTTGTATTTACCCATTTAATTACCTTTTCTGTGATATAACCTTGCTTGCTGAAACTGAAGAGGACATGAAGTGTTTGCTGCAGAAGTTCAAGGACTGTCATCTTCAATATGGACTGAAGTTCAACATCAAGAAAATAAAGATTCTCACCACTGGATGATTTGACGAGCTTCATTATGAACAGAGAAGAGACTGAGATTATTGATAACTTGAACTTACTTGGTTTCATAATCAACTCTCTTGACACTGGCAGTCAGGAAATCAAAAGACGAATTGCATTAGGGAAGTCTGCTGTCAGGGTCCTCTCTAGAGTACTGAAGAGCAACGATGTCAGGAGACTAAAGTGTGCCTGGTCCAGGCCAAGGTCTTCATAATTATTTGCTATTCACCTGAGATCTGGACAGTAACTAAAGATGACAGAAGAATAATCAATGCCTTTGAGCTGTGGTGCTGGAGAAGAGTGTTGAACATTCTGTGAACAAACAGGTCTGTCCTGGAGAGGGTAAAACTAGGGTGCTCCCTGGAAGCCAGGATTTTGAAGCTCCATCTCACATACTTTGGACACAAAGTGTGGAGGGACAGTGTGGGAGAGGAAGACCCAGGATGAAATGGATCAACTCAGTGACTGGAGAAATGGATTTAGGTCTATTGAAGATGATGAGATTGGCTCAGGATAGGACAGGGCTCAGAGTTAATGTGCATAGGGTTGCTGTGAGTGGCAGGCGACTCAATGGCACATAACAATAACAACAACAACAACAATACTAGTAGTAAAGAGTTGGACTGCCAGCATTAGGAACGCAGTTAAAATCTTCCGGGTGCCCCACAGGAGAAAAATGGGCAGTCTTCTTCTGAAAACACACTGGAGGGCAAGCTATGAGTTGGACTCAACTCAGTGGTACACAACAACATACTCAGTGTTCCTTCAAGTCAATACAAATTTCCATCTGTTATCATTTTCCCTTTACCTAAAAAGATTCCCCATGACATTTCCCACAATGCACTTCTGCTGCATGACATTTCCCATAATGCACTAATCCTGTGGCCCGTTGAAAAATTCTTTATTTTGCCTATATTTGTGAAGCCTATTTTTGAGAAAAGTTCTAAATTGACAGATATCACCCCCCATCCCCCCATCACTTCTTTAAAATTCAGCCCACTATCTTCTGGTTTGCCTTGACTGCAACAAGAAATTTGCTATTGTTCTTATTTTTGTTCCTCTGTATATGATGCTTCCTTTTTATGGGGTTGCTTTTTTTAAAAAAAAATCACTGGTTTTAAGCAATTTGAGTGTAATTGGGCTTCATGTTATAGTCTTCATGTTTCTTGTGTTTGAGCGTCATTGAGCTTCTAAGATCATTAAGTTTGTTGTTCTCATCAAAGTAGAAAAGTTGTTGTTGTTGTTGTTGTTGTTATGTGCTGTTGAATCACCTGTGAGTCGTGGCAATCCTGTGTACAACAGCTCTGAAGCTCAGGTGATTTTTATGTTTGCTTCTCTCTTCACTCCTTTGGGAGCTCCATTTATATGTGTGTTGGACCACTTGAAGTCACAGTGTAAGTCACTAAAGCTGTGTTCTCTCTCCTACTCCGTCTCTTTCCTTGTTGCTTCCTTTTGGGTAGTTTCTAGTGCTGCCTTCAAGCTTAATAGTCTTTTCTTCCACAGTCTAATCTGGTTCTAATCTCACCTAATGTATTTTGACACCTTGGATACTGAACTTTTCATTTCTTCTCTGGAAGTGTGATTTGGTCCACACCACCACCACTGCTGGAAGGGAAAGTCCTTGGGAAAGGACACCATTCTGGGAGAGGTAGAAGATCAGTGAAAGAGAGAAATCCCTCAACAAATGGATTGACACAGTGATTGTAGCAATGGGCTCGAGTGTGTCAGACAGGGAGGATGGCACCAGGTAGGGCAAGGTTCAGATCTATTGCTCATAGGATCACTATGAGATGTAGTCAACTTTATGGAACCTAATAACGTCAGCCACCACCATAATCACAATCACCAGTACCGTCACCACCATAACCACCACCATCTTTCTTCTGATGCCTTCCACATTTGGAGTATGGTCATGACAACTTTTGTAATGGTCTTGTCTACTAATTCTGTCATATAGTTCATTCCTGGATCCATTTCAGTTCACTGATTTCCCTCCCTTATCAAGGTTCATATTTTCCTGCTTTTTGGATGTTTTGAGGATTTTTATTAATGTCAAATGTAAATGCTGTTGCATGATGCATGTTTTTTTTATTCCTCTCAATCTTCTTGGGCTTTGTCTTAGTACACAGCTATGTTACATAAAATATTTGACCCTTCCAAGTCTCTCTTTAAGCTCTGTTGGGTGGTGCCAGAGCAGTGCTCCTTCTCAAACTCATTTTGCCTCCCTCCTAAGCCTAGTGGGTAAGGACTTGCACTGCCAACGCAAAGGTAGGGCTTCAAACCCAACAGCTGCTTCACAGGAGAAAGATAGGCAGGCTCCGCTCATGTGTTTACAGCCTCTGAAACCCTCTGGAACGTCATCCATGGGTCAGTTCTTGCCCAATAACAATACATTTTATGGCATTAAGTCAAAACCAGAGAGCTCTTGTAGCCTAGTGGCAAGAACTGCCCTATCAACCCAAAGTCATTTGGTTCTAATCTCTCAGCTGCTCTGTAGAAGGATGGGCAGTCTCCTCCTGTGTGATTAAATGCCTCTGAAAACCTGCTGGAGGGTCAGTTATGAGTTGGTTCCAAATCAGAGGCAGAACTATTTGAACACTTTATCTGATGGTCCACAATTTAGGAGATTTCTTACTGTCAGTAGTGAGAGTAAGACCATATGAGTCCTGCCCCATGTGAGCGCTGGGTGTCATTCCCCCAGCCCCTGTAAATGTGGGTCAGGCTTCTCCTGATGACTCCTGGGACACTTTGTGCAGCTCTCTGTCCTTAAAGCTCCCGCTGCCTTGCTCTCCCTCAGTTCTCTGCCAGGTGAAGTCATGGAGGCCGTTGGGTTCACCTGGCTTCCTGGCTCTGTGCTGTTCTAAGAGCTGTATGGGTATCTCATCGTCATTGTAACCACTAGCTCCCTAATGACAGTAATGCTCAGCATCTTTTCATGTGTTGAATTTGTTTGTCATCGTCAACATGCTGTTCAGATCATTGGCTCATTTTCTAAGTGTGCTTTCATCTTCGTTATCCAGTGCCAGTGTAACAGACACCACAAGTAGAGGTGCTCTGTCACAGTTCCAGAGCCTAGAAGCCCAAATCAGGGTGCCAGGCCTAAGGGAAGGACCCCCACACTCCCTGCTCCCTGTGTCCATTCTGGAGGAGGGTCCAGATTTCCTTAGAATCTGTAGGCCTGGCATTCCTTGGTGATCTCCATGTGTCTTGATCTTCCCAAAGGGCTTCCTCGCACCAAGACCCGAGTCCAAAGGAGTGCGCTCCACTCCTGGAGATTCTTCTCCGCCTCCCAGCTCAATTCCTCCCCATTTTATTTCTAGTGAGAGAGAAGCTGAGAGGCTGCACCCTCGGGAAAGTTCCCTTCCATCCATCAGGGCTGCTCTGCGTCTGTGCAGTTCATTAAACCATCCGTCTGTTTTGGAGGGGAGACAGCTCAATCCAGAGTAGCTATGTTCTGACGGTTGAGTTTTCTCTTGAGCTCTTGTTATTTCCAGTATACAAGGCATTTGGCAGACAAGTGTTTTGCAATCCTTTTTCCTATTCTGTGTCTTGAGACTTTTCATCCTTTACCGTGTCTTTTGCAGAAGAGAAATTTTTCATTTTAGTATCATTCACTTAGCTTTCTATGTTTTTTCAGTTGATAAATGTTGGTTTTGATGTTGCGCACATGGGTTGTTGGACTTGGTCCTGATGTCATTTGCTGAGTTAACAACTGCAGACGAGCTGGGAAGAAAGATGCCAGCTTGAGTCCTGTGGGATGTGGGGGGTGGGCACTGGGGGGTCCTGCAGGGGTAGGCATTGTGGCCAAGCTGGTACTGATCAGAGCCCAGGGAATCAGAGATGGGACTGGTGAGAGCCCAGGGAATCAGAGATGGGACTGGTCAGAGCTCAGGGAATCAGAGATGGGACTGGTCAGAGGAATCAGAGATGGGACTGGTCAGAGTCCGGGGAATCAGAGATGGGACTGGTCAGAGCCTGGAGGCAGCCCAGCAGGGGCAGGAGCACACGGCTATGAGCTTGCACTTCATACACAGAATCCTTTTCTCTTGAGCCTGCCTCACACACAACAATCCCTTGAACTCACTAATCTCCTCTTTTCCCAGATACTCTCTCCCCAGCGTCAAGCCCTTCGTCCGTTAACTGTCCTGTGGTTCCCAGCAGTGCTGATGAGCTGTCCAGTGGGACATTGAACATCGAGTGCCGGATCTGTGGGGACAAGGCCTCCGGCTACCACTACGGGGTACACGCGTGTGAAGGCTGCAAGGTACAGTGGACCCCGAGGAGGAGGAGAGGGTGGCTGCACCAGGGTCCAAATGGGGGTACCTTCCCTTAACATGTAATTGTTGATCTTTGCTACAAACATTTGCCATGAGAGATAAGAAACCACAGAGAGATCAGAAACCAATCTAACAGGTTGTTTCTCCGTGGTCTGTGACAGGCTCACCTTGTGTTCTGTGAATAGTTGAGGGGTCAGAACAAACCAGCCACGTGAAGAGCGATCCTTTCATCTGAGTACGGGGCCAGCGAGCCAGTTTCTCTGAGGGTCCTCCAGAGTCAAGGGGGGCAGCTTGGAGGGCTGTTGGACCCTCTGGTTTTCCAGTACAGAGATGAGAATACACACACAGTTGTATCCCAGACAGCTTCTGAATCAGCACTTACTGCATCTAGACAGAGAGGTAGCGTCTTGTTCAGGGTCCCACAGGAAGTGCCCAGGTGAGGACTGAACCTGCAGCTGACTCCTCACTGCTCCTGACACCCCCACCGCTCCTTCCTGCATGTCCTCCTTCCCCGATGAGAAGGGCCATACCAGACCTCTTGGTCAATGACCAGGCTCTGAGGATGAGGCTCAGTCTCTGGTCTGGTCTCCTGCCAGCTGGACCACCAGCCCCTCTGTGGTTTTCCAGAAGACTAATGAAGGAGTCACACATCCATCCTGGGTGTCTCTGGAAACACACACTGGGATATTCCATTTCCTTTATTCTTAGGGCGTTGTGTAGATGACGCACAGGAAACATTATCTAAATGTTCAGCGGGTATCAGAAATTCCTTCCTGTTGCTCATGCTGGGCCTTGAAGAGTTTGCTGCCTCCTAGGAAATACCTTGAAGGAACACCACACATTCTGCCCCAACCTGAAGCCTGGTCTCCATGTCCTGGTCTCCAAGTCCTCCAAGCCACATTAGGCAGAGCTTTAAAACAAATCATTATTGAACATTTTGGTCAAATAATGTATAGACATCTACTGAGCAAAAGGGGGGAATATATGGAACAGAATTTCAAGTTCTTACAGAATCCAGACTTTCTGGAGCCGTTAAAGCTGGATAAACTCCTAAAGCTATTGACATTATATAGCCCTTAAATTTTAAACTAAAAACAGTTCCTAAAATCTTCTGTAAAGCAAACACTCTTTCAATGAGTGTTTGTTGTGAACATTGTAAAAAACTATGTATTTGTTCTCATTCCCAAGAAAAATAATCCAACAGAATGTGGAAATTATCAATATCACACACACAAGTAAAATACTGCCAAAGATCATTTTAAAAAAATTACTAGAACAGTCCATAAAAAGAGAACCGCCAGAAGTTCAAGATGAATTTAGAAGAAACTGTGGCAGTAGGGATATCATTGCTGATGTCAGATGGGTCCTCTCTGAAAGTAAAGAATATCAGAAGAATATCTATTTGTGCTTTATTGACTATACCATAATAGGTGGAGAAGAGAAGGAGATCATTAACAACGTCAGCTTGTTTGGTTCCACAATCAACACTCTTGGCACCAGCAGTCAAGAAATCAAAAGACAAATTGCATTAGGGAGAGTCTGCTGTCAGGGACGTCTCCAGACTACTGAAGCACAACAATCGAAGTCTAGAGACTAAGGTGGGCCTGATACAGGCCATGGTCTTCACAATTAATTTCTCTGCATCAGAGGGCTGGACAATAACTAAAAATGATAGGAGAAGGATTGATGCCTTTGAGCTGTGGTGTTAGAGAAGAGTGTTGAACATACCATAGACACCGGGAGAACAAACAGGTCTGTCCTGGAGAGAGTGAAAGCAGGGTGCTCCCTGGAGGCGAGGACTTTGAAGCTCCATCTCACATACTTTGGGCACTTGGCCAGGAGGGGCCAGTCTTTGGAGAGGGACATCATGCTTAGAAGGGTAGAGGGATAGTTCAGGAGAGGAAGACCCAGGATGAGATGGATTGACTCAGTGACTGGAGAAATGGGATTAGGTCTGTCAGAAACTATAAGATTACAAGGACTGGGCAGGTTTCAGAGCTAATGTGCATGGGGTCCCTGTGAGTCACAGGTGACTTGATGGCACATAGCAACAACAAGAAGGCATTTGGCTCTGTGGATCATAACAAATTATGGCTAAAATTGTGAAGAGGGGAAATCTTTAAACACTTAATAGTGCTTATGTGAAACTTACACTTGGACCAAGAGGCTGTTACATGAACAAAGCAAGGAAACACTATCTAGTTTCAAATTAAGAAAGGTGCATGCTGGAGTTGTATCCTCTCTCCTTACCTATTCAATCTCTAAGCTGAGCAAATTATTTGAGAAACTGGAATCTATGAAAAAGAACGGGGCGTCAGGATTGGAGGGAGACTCATCAATAACCTATGTTATGCAGATGACACAACCTTACTTGCTGAAAGTGAGGACTTACAGCACTTGTTGCAGAAGATCAAAGACTGCAGCCTTCAGTATGGATTGCATCTGAATGCATTCAGAATGGACCCCATGGTAGTGGGCTTTTGGGTTATGCAAAACTATTCATGAAGGGGCCTTTTTCTTCAGGAACATGATCCTGTTTAGTTTCCAAGCTTAATAATAAAGCTGTTTCTGACTAAATAACATTTAAAACAATCTTAGAAAGCTAGATAATTATGTCCCCAAAGCACATTTTTTTCTATCATATTTGTTTGTTTTAGCAAATTACTATTGTTTTCTAAAAGTTTCCAGTCAAAAATATGGATGTGCTACATAAGAGGAAAAAGTTACATTGTTACAAGTTGTAGTAGAGCTCTTTGGGAAGCTAATTTATCTGTCAACATCAGATCAGGATATTTTGAAATTACTTTGAATTGTGTCTTGGGTGATTTATTGATTTTTTTTTTACGTTTTCATGCTTTTCCATTTTTCTCCTTTGCAGCTAACTCATTCGAGCACTTCCCCTAAGTGTAGTTTGCATCAGGAATGGCAGTAAATGGGGAGACATGTGCATTGAGCGATGACAGACCCTCCAGTCCACGCTCTCTGACACACTGTGTGTTACTCTCACAGGGCTTTTTCCGTCGGACCATTCGGCTAAAGCTGGTATATGACAAATGTGATCGCAGCTGCAAGATTCAGAAAAAGAATCGAAATAAGTGCCAGTATTGTCGTTTTCACAAGTGCCTCTCGGTGGGGATGTCTCATAACGGTAGGTAAGGTCGCCACCATATCTCCCAATTCCCTGCTGCTGGCCCACCCTGCCAGGGCAGGGAGGCATCGCTCGAGCTTGCTCCCACGTGGGACACCGTGGTCTTTCTGTAATTTAACTGCCTGAGAAGAGGCAACTGTCCTGCGCTGGGGCCCAGCAGGTCCTGGGAGCCACGTTAGAGCCTCCAGTAGGAAGGCCCAGCTTAGCATTTGAGACTGCAGGGGTGATGTAATGCTCAAGTCACTGCGACAGAGCGTGCTTCCCCTTAAATGTTTTACCATGTTACTATTTTAATCCTATTCCATCATACTCTTTATTGTTAGGTGACTTCAAGTGGAAAATGACTTGTGGAGACCCTATGAATCACAGATCTGAGACTTGCCTGTCCTGCACCATCAAAACCATTGTTGTTGTTGTTGTTATGTGCCGTCGAGTCACTTGCAACTCATAGTGACCCTATGTACAACAGCTCTAAACTCTGCTCTGTCCTGTGCCAATCTCATTGCCTCTGACACACTCATCCCGATTGCCCCAGTCACCAAATCAATCCATCTCCCAGAGGGCCTTCCCCTCCTGCACCTGCCCTCTATCCTCCCAAGCATGTCCCTCTCCAAGGACCGGTCTCTCCTTACAACATGACCAAAGTATGTCATACGAAGCCTCAGAATCCTTGCCTCCAAGGAGCAGCCTGGTTTAACCCTCTCCAGATGAATCTGTTTGCTCTCTTAGCAGTCCATGGCACCTTCAGCACTCTTCTCCAACACCAAAGCTCAAAAGCATCAATTCTCCTTCTATCCTCCTTGGTCATTGTCCAGCTCTCCGATGCATAACAAGTGATTGCAAAGACCATGGCCTGTACCAGACGCACCTTTGTCTCCAGAGACACACCGTTGCTCTTGAGTACTTTAGAGAGGTCCCTATTACGAACTCTAATTTTAGAATGTGTTATATATGAGAATTCCAGGCTGGTGCACATAATCAGTATGAGAATTCCAGGGTGGTGCATGTACTAGCTCTGTAGGCTGGTAGCCAAACAATCAGTGGATCAAACCCACCCACAGGTGCCTCGGAAGACAGGCCTGGCAGTCTGCTTCAGAGAAGTCACATCCTTGAAACCCCTGCAGAGCTGCTGTGCCCTGCACATGAGGGTCACCATGCATGGGAACCGACTCTGTGGCAGCTAACAGCATCAACAATTACTTTGTGAAGCAAAATGTGAAACCAGTAGTTCATGAGAGTTCGGTCTTCACCTTCTGGAAAAAGAAAAAGAAAGTGTTTTATGATCTTATTTTAAGGCTTGTTTTCATACTCTTAACCCTAAAAGGGAGCTCTGGTGGCCTAGTGTTAACACACTGCGCTGCAATCCCAAAGGCCCACAGTTCGAATCCACCAGTTGTTCCTCAGGAGAAGGATGAGCAGTCCCCTCTCATGTGATTTACTGCCTCTGAAAATGTGCTGGAGGGTCAGTTCTGACTCGATGGCACACAACAACAAACCTAAAAACAATTTTTTATTAACAGAGATGCTGTGAATCATAGACAACTCAAAGGCAAATAACAGCAACAAATAGCTATGACATGAATAACAGTGTTACCTTTAAAAAAAAAATCCAACCTTTATAAGAAAGAAAAGACCCCAGGGTTTATGTCATTTTTCTTTTTCTCTCTCCAGAAGGGAAGTCGCAGAGCAGTGAGAGCTGGACTTACCCTCCCTTAGCTCCCTGCTCCTGGGTCAGGTGCTGCTGGCTCAGCCGTTAGCCATCATCATCCTCTCCCGAGTTACCTTCACACTGTGTTGCTCTGTCTGTTTGTTTCTCATTATCCCACCCCTCCCCTCCCTCCACCCTCAGCAATCCGTTTTGGACGAATGCCAAGGTCCGAAAAGGCAAAATTGAAAGCAGAGATCCTTACATGTGACCATGACCTAGAAGATTCTGAAACTGCAGATCTCAAATCTCTTGCCAAGAGAATTTATGAGGCCTACCTGAAGAACTTTAACATGAACAAGGTGAAAGCCAGAGTCATCCTCGCAGGAAAAGCCAGCAACAATCCAGTAGGTATTTCCCTGCTGTTTTCTTGTAGCCTGTGGCATGTTCTGTTAGCGCCATGTCAGCACAGTGATAGAGGGACCTGAGGACACCTGTGGCCAGGGTTGGGGCGACAGGACAAAGGCCAGACAAAGAGGAGGAAGGTGCGGAGAATTTCTTTTCACACCCTAAAACACAGCTGTCATGAGCCTTGAGCCTTAATTAATTACTAATAGACATGTTACAAAATCCAATTATAGTTTATTAATTATTTAATTCATTAATTCATAGAAATAATTCATTATAATTTATATTGCAATTCATTGATTCATAGCAAGCATCAGTTAATTGTAATTTATCTACATTGCAATTAATAAATTTAAAACAACATATTGAGTTACTAATTCATAGCAAGCATTAAATAGTAAATTGCAGTTTATCTACATTGTAATTCATAACAAATACAATTGTTAGGATAATGGGGAACACTCACCCCTGAGAACCCAACATGTCTCCTCCTTTGGCCTCTCATGGCCACAGTGTGGTCAGGGTCCTCAGCTAGTTCAGCAGCTCACAGCCACTGGTGTGGCCAGGGTCAGCAGATCACATACAGCCACTGGTGTGGCCAGGGTCTTCAGCTCTGAAAAGAGCCCTTCAGTATTTGGCTCTGTAAAGAACATTTGGGTCTTCAGTGTTCAACTCACTGGGCTCTCAGGGTATATGGACTTTTGGCTTTGGATGTTACATTATATTCAACCAATAACATTAAGAATAACAACATTCAAACTCTGGGTTGCATTATATTCAACCAATGACATTAAGCATAATAACATTTAAACTTTGGGTTTTACCAACCGTATTAGTTTCAAAGCAAGTTGTATGACCAATCACATTAGTCCCAAAGCAAACATGGGTTTGGCTAATCATGTTCTATACCAGTTACATGCCTTTGGCAACATGGGCAGAAACAAGTCACATTCCCTTATCAAGGATTTACACATGTTGTGGCCAGTGGAGCCTTAGGGCCACTAAGGGCCTGTTTGGGCATATCAAACTGTTTAGTATCTTTCACAAATATTCCCAAGATATTTTCTAACATAGCAAATTCATAACATACTTCTTATTTTTATTTCTTATATATTACATAGCAAATTCCTAATATATTTCTTATTCTTAAACTTAAGCCAATATGTTTTCACATCAAACTTATCATAGCAAACTTATAATATTTTCCTATACTTAAACAATTCATATCTTGTAAGTTTATAATGTTTCCCAGCAAACTTATGATATTTCACAGCAGACTTATGATAATTTCTATACTACCTTTCACAGCAAATTAATTGTATTTTCTTAAACTGCTCATAACACACAGCTTGATAGATCCCAGTCTGGCTAATGTGGTCCACTCAAAGCTAGGGAACTGTGCCCTAGTAGCAAGGAGTTGTACCACCAATTCCAAGGCATGTGGTTCAAATCCACCCCCTGCTCCACAGGAGAAAGATGGGCAATCTTCTCCCATGAAACCTCAAAAAAACCTCACTAGAGGATCAGCTGTCACTTGATTCTAACGTGATGGTAATAACAACTCAAAACTATTGTGACTGTGTAATTCAGACACTCAAAACCATCTGATAGCTTCCCTGGGACTTGGAAAGTAGAGTTGGCGGGAAAGAGGAAGACACCCTCAGTGAGGTAGTCTGACCCAATGGCTTCAGCACTGGGTTTGAGCGCAGCAATGATGGAAGTGTGTGGAGGGACCGGGGGCGCAGCATGCTGGGGTGCAGGGGCTGAGGCACTGAACCCTGGACATCTGCCATGTCATTTCTTTTTTAGGCTCATTCCTTAAGCGCATTTTTTTAAAAAAATTAAACTTTATATACATTTATTCAAAGTTTTTGCTACCTAATTCCTGAGCGATGTTTTCTTACATACTTTAAAAAAATTATTGATTTGCATACAAAATTAGTATCTTAAGGCTGAAAAATTAAGTTGTTCACTTCCCACTCTAAATGTATTCTTAGGTTATCCTCCCCCCCGCCCTTTCAAACAACTTTCTCTCCTGCCATATCCCTACCCTTTCCCATCTGGGTTTTTGGTGGTAAGACAGGGCTTAGAAAGGACCATTTACTTACAGACACTTTTTGAGGGGATGTTTCTGGACTTTTTCAGGAGGCAGTAAATACCCTCCTATACCCCCTCATGACCTAATGTTCCACAGCCCCCCCTCCCCACAGTAAAATGAGTCTTTTCTCCAAAATAGAAGGAACCTTGAGCTGCCTCCAAGCAGAGGCCTGGCCCTGAAGGTGGGAACTTATATTTTGTCTTTTTCCTGTAAGCATAGCCAATGAGTTTAATCTGTACAAATAAGTAGCTCCCAGAAGTCCTCATGGGTATTAGAAGCTGGAATTCTCAGCCCCGGAGCAAGAGTTATTTCACAAGCAACTTTCATGAACAGACCAAATTCTTTTTTGTTTGTTTGTTCTTTTCAGTTTATTACATGAAGGAGTTACACTTGTCCAAGTTAAAGTGGACCCCAAATGATTACATTTTACAAACTGTGAGGTTTTAAACTTGTGACGAGGGACAGAAGGGTCATTTTCTGCTCATTGCAGCGTAATCCTTCTTGCTTCAGTGCCAGTGAGCCTTAAGCACTCGAAACCCATGAGCCTTCAGCTGGTCATCCTTGGCCAGCCCAGTCTCTACAAGGAGCTGGCATACATCCTTGTGCTGGTCACCCTGTGGCTGGATTATGTCTCTACATTCTGGATACTCAGTTGCAGGACTCCTACAGGCAAATTTCTTCAGCATCTTCACGAGTTTGTTTTTGTCATAATCACGAGCAACCCCATGGAACAGTTGTAAGAGTCTTCCTGCCACTTCTCTGTTGAACTCTTAAATGGATCTAATCCTCAGTCCCAGCAGGACGCTGGTCATCACTCTTAAGTGTTTCACCAGAGGCAGAGCAAACTCTTTTTACTGGAACTTTAATTCTCCAGTGTATTCTTCACCCCCACTGAACCAGTTTGGAAGGGTTTGAGCAGATACTAAAGCCACTCCCACACTAGTGACCAGGGGGCCTAGGAGCACGTCCTAGTGAGACCGCGCTCCATCACAGGGGTAAGAGCAAGGGGAGCCGCTTCCCTTTGAAGGATGTTGTTGTTGTTGTTGTGTGGTGTCTAGTCGGCTGTGCCTTGTGGTGACTCTGAGATCGACAGGTTGGAACCTGGTCCTGTCCGGCCCCATCCTCATGGGCCCCGTCGGGTGCAGACTCGTTGTTGCAAACACTTGATCCACTTCATTGAGTGATTTCCTCTTTTTCACTGACCCTCTCCTCTTCCCAGTGTAATGTCCCCCCATAATGTCTTTTAGTTATCCTAAAGATGGTTGGCATCACCAAAATGAAAGCCCAGTTGACTGCCGTCAGATCGATTCTGACCCTCCAGTGGGCTTCTAAGGTTATAAACCTTTCCCCTCCAGGATGCTTGGTGGATTTGAACTTCCCATCTTCTGGTGAACAGCCCTACACATAACTCATTACACCTCCAGGGCTCTGTAAACCAAAATTGGGGGAAATAGAACTTTTGTTTGACAGCTGCTCTTCCTCTCTTGGGTTGTAAGAACTGAAAGCTGACTAAAGCCCTGCCTTTAACAGACAGTTCTGTTCAAGGGAAATTTGGTTTTCACCCTCAGCACCCAAAACAAGGGGTGCTCCTTGAAGTTGTCTGTGAGGGTGACACCAGCTTCCCACAGAGAAGAGGCTGTTGGCATTTCCATCATGAGGAAATAAATGATGGAGTAATGGTTAGGATAGGGAGCGTGATGGAATGTGAGTGTGAGGTGTCACACTCAAAGAGGTCAGTGGTTTGAATCCACGAGTGGCTTTTTGGGAGAGAGATGAGCACTGTTAAAATATACAGTGTGTCCTGTTGGAGTGGAGTCTCACTGCATGCTATCCACTGTGCCTCAGGGGCCCTGTCCACACAAGGGCACCGAGTCTCCCTGCCCACCTCCTGCCTCCCTGCCACCTCCTTGCCTCCTCCACTTGTGTGGCTCAGTCTAGAAAAGACCAGGTGGTCGGAACACCGCCGCTCACTCCCAGGCTTCATTGTAAAGAATTTTTGCTTGAGTCACACTCTGTCTTAGGCACAGTTTAGAAGACAGTTCAGGATACTGGAGGTGCGCCTGTGAGGAGACCAGGCCAGGCTCTGCCCTGCTGGACTTGGTCTGTTTCTGATGACCCCACCATTTGACAGTCTTTCCATGAATGCTCCAGCCAGGTCGACACTGTAGCTATGGGGCAGTGGGAGTTGGCTTTTCTCAAACATCCCTGTCTATGGGCGTAAGGAGGCTTTGCCAAGAGAACGGGGTTGATGTTGAGGAAGCCACCCCAGCCTCTGTGTGTGGTGACCGTAAATCTGCCACCACGGAGGGAGTACCTGGCGGTGTTCAGACTGGCAGCCAGATTTCATTCTTTTGACATTATGTTACTGAGAATATTCCAGGAGAACATGTAACAATTCAACAGTTTTTTCATGTGATTCAGTGACATTGATTACAGTTTCCAGGTTGTACACCCTTATCACCCCCTGGTCCAGACCCTTCCTCCCTGCTGATGTGCTCTCACTGTCTGCTTTCTAGTGAACATTTGGAGTTGCTGGTACCAACTTGATCCTACGCAAATACTTCTTAAAAGAGCATAATTGTCAACACAGTTGTTCACCAGTTAAACCAGTCTCTTGTTTAGTTTAAAGAAGACTTCAGGGAATATTTTTATGTGTTACTTTGATTGATTGATTCCATCACTGGGGTAATGGAGATGGGTGTGTTGGAGACAATAAGATTGGCAAGGGATAGAGCAGGGTTTAGGGCTATTTTACATAAGGTTGCTACGAGTCTCAAGCGACTCGACGGCACATAACAACAACAACAACTTCATAATTTACCAAGCATCATCATTTACTTTTCCAAGGAATACAGTCTTAAGTTTGGAGCATAATAACTTTATTTCAGAGACTCTTCAGTT